AGTTTATTCTTGTGTCTGGTGTAAGTTGGTGGTCTAGTCACCATTTATTGAAGAGTCTGTCTGCGGTGGCTTGTTTTTAAAAGAAGCATGCGACGTGGTTCTGCTGGCATTGTTTTGAAATAAGTGGAGAGCTCTCAGCAAACTTTTACCTTAGTCTGCAACATGTTTTGTTAGAAAAGCCCGTGGTAGTATCTAAAATTGTGTAAATCATCAGTTTTTAATCTGGCAGGAAGTAGAGAGTGGCCCATTAAACTTTCGTAATTAAATTTTCCCTGTACTCCCCCATAGAACCATTATCTGAGTTTTCTAATTAACACAAGAGGAGGGAGTCAATTCAGATTGATGGGATCGAGAGCCATCCCCTTTCATTTTAATGACCTTTAATAAACTTTTATTACTATTGATATTGATAATTATAATACACCCTTTAATTCTGCAATGTGATTCTAAGGACCTTTTCAAAAATTGCAAAATTCACCTTTAAAGCTAGAGTAGGCAGAAGCATTGTATTCCCAGATGCGGTGCTCCCAAGCCAGGGACTTTAAGTGAGCCGAAGGGTAGACAATGGCATGGTGACAATGGCTCTCTCTTCCTCGAGCCACAGAGCAGGTCCTCATTCCTGACACAGTCTCCTAATTTCAGGGCACAGCTGCCCCCAACCATGCCAATCGGGGCTGAATTGGAAGTTATTTTATGATAAATAATCCGCACGGAGTAAGACGGAGTTTACTCAATTTGTTTTATTTTCAACGGGGAAGGCATTGAGGCCAGGAGGCCAGCTTTTCTGGAAGGTTCTCGCGACATTCTGCCAGAATGTTGCATAATTCTAAATCTCCTCTGAGCTGCCATTGCTGTCCCTGGGAGTGGCCCTTCCAGGTGAGAAAGTGCATTTGCAGGTGTGAGCCTATAAGCATGGAGAACACCCCTCCTGTCACTCATCCCTTGCTTGAGAAAGAGATACCGAGAGGGTACCTGGCCAGGGCTGTGTGTGTGGGACATGATGGAGCTGGGATTCAGCTTAAGCTGTTAATCATCAAGCTACACAGTCTGCAAAGTCACAGTGGGTGACCGAGGTTGGACTTCCAGTCCCTTGATTAATGACATCAAAAGTGGCGAACTGAGATTTACCAAACTTATGGTGTTTAAGGGAGAATGAATGTAACCCTTCAAGTAGACATTAACATATTTTATGCCAGGAGCATAATGTGAGGATTCAATGAGATAAGGTATATAATAGTGCCTGGTTCAACACATGCTACCTCTCATTGTTATTATAAATATTGTTTTCATAGTCCCTCACCTGTTTTGTTGTTGGTTTTTAACCTTACTTGGTTTCTTCTTTTCAAAGTTCAGGTGTTTGGTACTTTGATAAATCATTCCATGAAAAAAATAGTATATATTAAAAAGTCTAGATTTAGCTGAGAGAAGAGACAGCAAGGATCTAGTCAAGATCACAGATATAAGATAGTCATTGGATTAACAGATTTTATAATGTAGCCGCTGCAGTAGTCTAAGAAGGAGGCTGTACCAGGCTGCTTTTGGGGTAACAGCAGAAAGAATAGAGAACAAAGGGGAAATCTGAGAGACTTTCCAACAGCAATAATGGCAATTTATATTTTTTCTGAATTTTGTTTTCAAGAGAAATAGATATATTTTAAAATACTTGTGGGGGAGAAGTTTCAGTTCTCCCCATGACATGCTGGACCACCTGGGACCAACTACACCTCCCACTGCAACAGCTAGAACCCTGTGTGGGAAACGGAGGAAGCAGTGCAGGCCTCAACTAGGAGAGAAGGGGAATCCAGTAAATGAGCCGTTATGCCAGGAGCATAATGTGAGGATTCAATGAGATAAGGTATATAATAGTGCCTGGTTCAACACATGCTACCTCTCATTGTTATTATAAATATTGTTTTCATAGTCCCTCACCTGTTTTGTTGTTGGTTTTTAACCTTACTTGGTTTCTTCTTTTCAAAGTTCAGGTGTTTGGTACTTTGATAAACCATTCCATGAAAAAATAGTATATATTAAAAACTTCTTTTCAAAGTTCAGGTGTTTGGTACTTTGATAAATCATTCCATGAAAAAAATAGTATATATTAAAAAGTCTAGATTTAGCTGAGAGAAGAGACAGCAAGGATCTAGTCAAGATCACAGATATAAGATAGTCATTGGATTAACAGATTTTATAATGTAGCCGCTGCAGTAGTCTAAGAAGGAGGCTGTACCAGGCTGCTTTTGGGGTAACAGCAGAAAGAATAGAGAACAAAGGGGAAATCTGAGAGACTTTCCAACAGCAATAATGGCAATTTATATTTTTTCTGAATTTTGTTTTCAAGAGAAATAGATATATTTTAAAATACTTGTGGGGGAGAAGTTTCAGTTCTCCCGGCCCGTGGGCCGTAGTTTGAGGACCCCTGGCCTAGACTTAGCTGAGAGAAGAGAGAGCAAGGATCTAGTCAAGATCACAGATATAAGATAGAGTCATTGGATTCAAAGATTTTATCATCTAGCGTCTGCAGTAGTCTAAGAAGGAAGCTGTACCAGACTGTTTTTGTGTAATAGCAGAAAGAATAGAGAACAAAGGGAAAATCTGAGAGACTTTCAAACAGCAATAATGACAATTTATTATTTTTTTTTTCTGAATTTCGTTTTCAAGAGAAATAGACATGTTTTGAAATACTTGTGGGGGAGAAGTTTCCGTTCATGACATGCTGGACCACCTGGGACCAACTACACCTCCCACTGCAACAGCTAGAACCCTGTGTGGGAAACGGAGGAAGCAGTGCAGGCCTCAACTAGGAGAGAAGGGGAATCCAGTAAATGAGCCGTATGCCCGCCCTGATTTCTTCCCAGGGTTCTTCCTGCCTGTGGGGCAATGAGGAAGGGGGTCCCGTACACAGGATGGCAGTCTCAGTGGAGAAAATACAGGTCAGAGCTTTGGGAGCTGGAGGTGGTTAGAGAGGAGAGAGCTGTGTGGGGAAAGACTTCCGGAAATAGTCACAGGCGCCCGGCAAAGCTGTTGTTGAAAATTCAACTACACGTGAGGCCAGACAGATGGCAACTCCAGAGCTGTTTGGTGAAAAGTTCCTAGAGCTCATGCAGGTCTGAGAGGTGCCTGCACTGAAGACCCCAAAGAGGTCAGGCTTGGGTAGTGATGCTACGGTAAACCAGGCCTGGAGTCAGCAATATTCTAAATCAGAGACTGAGGAAGAATGGTCCAAGGGTCAAATCCAGTCCCTGATCTTTTTTTGTATGGATCCATAGCTAAAAATCTTTTTATATCTTTAAAAACCTGTAAAAAGAAGGGAAATAAAAGAGGGAGGAGGAGGAGGAAAAGAAAGAAGTTTCAGTTCTCCCCATGACATGCTGGACCACCTGGGACCAACTACACCTCCCACTGCAACAGCTAGAACCGTGTGTGGGAAACGGAGGAACAGTGGTTTTTGGCGAGTGCAGGCCTCAACCAGGAGAGAAGGGACATCCAGGAAATGAGCCATATGCCCGCCCTGATTTCTTCCCAGGGTTCTTCCTGCCTGTGGGGCAATGAGGAAGGGGGTCCCGTACACAGGATGGCAGTCTCAGTGGAGAAAATACAGGTCAGAGCTTTGGGAGCTGGAGGTGGTTAGAGAGGAGAGAGCTGTGTGGGGAAAGACTTCCGGAAATAGTCACAGGCGCCCGGCAAAGCTGTTGTTGAAAATTCAACTACACGTGAGGCCAGACAGATGGCAACTCCAGAGCTGTTTGGTGAAAAGTTCCTAGAGCTCATGCAGGTCTGAGAGGTGCCTGCACTGAAGACCCCAAAGAGGTCAGGCTTGGGTAGTGATGCTACAGTAAACCAGGCCTGGAGTCAGCAATATTCTAAATCAGAGACTGAGGAAGAATGGTCCGAGGGTCAAATCCAGTCCCTGACCTTTCTTTGTATGGATCCACAGCTAAAAATCTCTTTACATCTTTAAAAAGCTGTAAAAAGAAGGAAAATAAAAGAGGGAGGAGGAGGAGGAAAAGAAAAGAAAGAGAGTATGCAACAGAGATTGGATCTGATCAGCAAAGCTTAAAATATTCACTACCTAGGTCTTCATAGCAATAGTTTACCCTGCTCTAGGCTCACCTTAAAATGTCTAAAAAATAATCCTCAGTTCATTTAACTTCCAACCAGAACAGTCTTTAAATTTTTTTTTTTTTTTTAGTTTTATTCATTTCAAACGGGCCGGATCCGGCCCGCGGGCTGTAGTTTGCCCACGGCTGATATAGAGTATGCAACAGAGATTGGATCTGATCAGCAAAACTTAAAATATTCACTATCTAGGTCTTCATAGGAATAGTTTACCCTGCTCTAGGCTCACCTTAAAATGTCTAAAAAATAATCCTCAGTTCATTTAACTTCCAACCAGAACAGTCTTTAAATAGACATAAAAAAATCTAGCACTTAATAGTGTATAATTCATAATATTTAGCATCAATTACAAATTATCAGACATACAAAATAAGCAGGGAAATGATACCCTTAAAGAAAGAAAAATCCAATAGAAACTCAGAAATGACAGAGATGGAGGAGCAAGCAGACAAGGACTCTCAGGGGCTATTTGAAACCTGCTCAAAGGTTTAAAAGAAAACATTGCTACACTGAGGAAAGGAGTAAAGGAACCCAATAGAACTTAGAGGTGGAAAACACAATATCCTAAATGAGAAACGGGCTGTGCGGAATTAATAGCAGATCCCATTCTGCTGAGAGGATTGGCGAATGTGTGTACATGGCGATAGAAATTATCCAAACTGAAGCACCAAAGAAAAGGTCTAAAAAAATGCAGAGCTTCTGTGATTATAGAACCGAGTTTTCAGAACTCTCATCCTTCCCTGATTTGAAGTTATCATTGGCTCGAAGAGACACTTTGCAGGGGGTCTGGGAGGAGGCAGGATGCGCCGGATTGCCTTCCCGTGTGGCAGGCTGATGGGGCTCCCTGCGCGCCGTGGCTGCGCACCACACCGTCACGGACCTGCTAGCTCGCCTTCTGGGCCCTCCGTTCCTTCAGCTCCTACTGGATCTGCTCGATTTTCGGAGTCCAGGACCGGAGTGTGCAGCCCTGGAAGCGGCAGCTGAGCCCGGGCTCCTCCAGCTCCCTCCAGAGTTCCTCCTCCAGATTCTCGGAGTCCTTGGCCAACGTGTGCCACTCCTGGGGCAGCCGCCAAGCCCACGACTCTTCCAGCTCATGTCGTTTCTCCTCCTCCGGGTTCTCCAGACTCTTGGGCCAGTCCCAGCACCAAGGAGAGAAGTAGGAGATGTGCATTAAATATTGGACTGCCCCCACAGTTCCCTACAGTTAAGTTCCTCTAATAAATCCCATATTGTGTATGATTTAGAGCAGATCAAACCCTGATACAATAATATACTCTAAGTGGACTTTATGCCAGAAATACAAGGTTTAACATTTTTATTTATTTTAAAATTTATTTGTATTGATTTCAGAGAGGAAGGGAGAGGGAGATAGAAACATCAATGATGAGAGAGAATCATTGATTGGCTGCCTCCTGCACGCCCCCCATTGGAATTAGAGCCTGCAACCCGGGCATGTGCCCTGACCATGAATCGAACTGTGACCTCCTGGTTCATAGGTCAATGCTCAACCACCGAGCCACTCCAGCTGGGCAAGGTTTAACATTTTTAAATCGATCAATGTACTTCACCATATTAATAGATAAATAAAGAAACCTATATGATTATCTCAATAAATTCAGGAAGAGATTTGATACAATTTAAGATGTAACAGCCCTTTATGATCATAATCAGAACACTAGTTCTAAAAGAAAACTTCTTCAGCTTGATCAAGGGCATCTTTGAAAAACCTCCAGGTAACAGCCTATCCAGTGGTGAAAGACAGAACGCGTTTCCCCGCTAGGAAGAAAGCAAGGACGGCAATTGCACGCCCCCTAGTTCACTCTGCCCTGGAAGTCTTAGCCAGTCCAATAAAGAAAGAGCAAGGCTTTTTAGAAGTGACAGTGAGAATTAGTTGCTTTTACAATTGTGATATTATGAGAAACACATTTTTAAAACACATGTTGGTGCCTTACATTAAAGTCTTCTTTCCGAGGAGGGGAAATCCTTTCCTAAGGCCGCAGATGAGTTACTTTGCTCCCTTTCGGCCTTTTATTTAGACTTCTCAGCCCATCTCTTGAGGAAGGAGGGGTCTTGCCCATCGATAGGCCTTGTCTCTCTACAAGCCATTCTATCTGGGCTCACCAGCATTATTGCACTTGCTGGGGCTGGGGGCTGGCTTTATCCATATCTCCTCTACATGCTATCCCTTTTGCCCGCTTCTCTGGTGTGTGTATGGGCGGGAGGGGGGGGGGGCAGTCTCCTACTTTAAAGTATTAACTAACTCCTTCCCCAAACCCTTGCTGATATGGGGGTGACTCCCATACTCGGGGAACCCTCCCTGTGCGTACCCATGCCATTGCTCTTACCATGTAATCCTGGGATGGTCTCATTCCTCTTCTGGTAGTTGCTTTCGACTCTGAGCTTCTGGAGCTGTGTTGTTAGACCCCCAGTTACCCCAGAGCCTGCAGAAGGCCCCCGTCGTGTTTGTTGAATGAAGCGAGCAAGCAGAACATCAAGAACGTGGCAAAAATCAAGTGTATTTATTTAGGGCTTTAGTGGAAGTGATCCTGCAGCCTGTCTGCTCTAGTGAGATGAATGGCAAGGGCCTGAACTTGCAGATCCCTGCTGTTCACGGTTAGCCTTCTTCATGCATCATGGCTGATGGGGCACACGGAACTCCCAATTAGTCTTGCTTTGCCATGGTGCGCACAACTCTATGTAGAAACGAGAACAAAAACACCACAGAGCCGCCTGACGTTGGGGAGGGAGAGGTACCCTGTATGACCCTATAATCTCAACTTAGAGTCCTTCAGTTGGTAACACTCTGACCTAAGTCCGGCATCATATCTATTGGGGATCTTCCAGTTGGTGTTACTGGGGCGCCTAGGCCTCTGTGTGCAGACTACTTGTCATTGACTTAACGAGGTAGAAACCAGGATGTATGCAAGCTCTGGTGGCTGGAAGTTAAAGGGTCACAACAGGACACTCAAGACAAAGTCTTTAGAGATAACCTGATTGACCTCTTCATTAGCACCAACCAAAACATGTAGGAAATGTCGGTCTCTATAGTGCTGAAGTCATCCACATGCAATGTCTCTGTGTGCTTACTTTCAGTCTTGAAGAGAATTTAAAAATCAAACAAAAACAAAAATCTTGCCTTCCCACGAACTCCTAATCCGCACCCAGAGCTTCATCCTTGCTTAGCTAAACCCGTTTCTCTTTCTCTCGGAGGGGGGCTTGTTTTGTTGTACCTAAAGGACATATGTGACATGTTATTATTGAGAATTAGAACTCAAAATAGTCAGAAGGGGATGGCCTAAAATACGTAAGTTGGCCCAGAATCTCACGCTAATATGTAATATATAATGTACCAGAGATGGGAAAGGGGGTCCATTTCTGTTAAGCTCAAGGCTTGTTTGATGCTAGAGGCCCAGTGCACGAAATTCATGCACAGGTAGGGTCCCTAGGAGCTGCCAGCTGCCAGCCAGGGCCTCCCTTCCCTGGCTGCCGACTGGGGCCTCCTTCATTCCGTGCCACCCCCTGGTGGTCAGCGCACGTCATAGCGAGCAATCGAACTCCCAAGGGGATACTTTGCATATTAGGCTTTTATATAGATAGATGTTGCATTGACCATACACGGTGTCTGAAGGGAATGACCCCCAGAAAAACAAATGTGGAAGCAGGCTGAAATGGTCACTGATTAAGTGACTCTGAGGATTCACAGTGCATTCCCAGGAACGCATGTGATTTGAGGTGAGAGCAATTCCTAGGAAAGATGTGTGAGTGAAGAATGAGAGGTAGATGTCATGACAGACTTTCTAACGTATTTGTCTGACTCTCTCTAATATTTCCACTGAGAATAAAACTTAACTGAGTTTTATTGTTTCTTATGTTGGAGGGCTTTTGAAAATTATCTAATTTGTGAGAAGCACACCTGGGGTTTGCAATGGGCACCCGGGGAAACATAAAAAGACGCACATTTACACACAGAAACGGGGAGGTTTCACAAGATCCTTAAATAGGAACATATATCTAGTCCAGGGTGATAAAAGAAAATGTTTATGAATTAAAAATGACACGCTGTTCTTTAACACTATTTGGATATTTCCTAATGCTTGAAAATAATCTTATGAATAATATTTAAAAATGCTAGAAAAGCATTCTTTACAGCCAGCTATAACGAATCTATTTTCATTTATCTGTATGGCTCTTCATTTATGTCCTTCTAAATTTGAGTTTCAGTCATTAGTTCAATCAATGCCAGAAGAAAAGTAACGGATGATAGAAGGAATGCTTTGTTTTTCCATCACCTTCCTGCCTTGAGTCGAGGCGTTTTTGTCGTTAGATGCTTAGATGTGAAATTGTTTTTACGGAGTTATTGATGACTGTATCTACGCAGAGCCTAAGTGAAATTATAGTGTATTATGGAAGCAATCGCTTCCTTCCATTTTTCTGCATTATTGTACCATAGGAGCCACCTAAGCCCATTACCAAGCTGCCATGAATATTGCATCTCGCCTATAAGTCATCTAGGTTTTAACCAAATTAAGTCTCGACTACATGACTCAGATTTAGTATCTTCTGAACATAGCAATGTAATCTGTGACCACGGACCTAAGATAAGGAAAAACGGAGACACAGTGCCTCATGCACAACGGGCATTCGATAAATATTTGTTAAACGGAGGATAGAACCGGGACCTACTGTAAATCTCTGCTGTTTTTCTCTTATATGTGAATTAAGAGCTCCCAATCTATAACACTTTTATCATGTCATCAGCCCTGATGTGTGAAATGATATTCCCAAAGGGAATTTGGAACGCACGTGAGGATAGAATAGACTAACACGTTTTCTAAAAGAATAATGCGCACTTTTAATCTACACCCACAGGCAATCGGCTTCTTAATGGTCATCAATATAGGTGAGCTGTTCTAAAAAATCGCTTCACTGGCAAGGATTACTCCACAAATAGTCACAAACAGACTAGAGAATAAACACTTTTAAACAATAATGTTGAGTGCATTCCATTCATGTTTAGGAACTATATCACCCATTATTAAGGAGAAACAATATGTTTCTGAAGTCTCAACAATGAGTTCTACTTCCTCTAAATGTTTATAGTTTTACTTGGCAAGGAGTCTCAGACTTATCAAGCCATTGGTATGTTTTGTACCATGAGCATCTAAGGCAGTGGTTCTCAACCTTCTGGCCCTTTAAATACAGTTCCTCATGTTGTGACCCAACCATAAAATTATTTTCGTTGCTACTGTTATGAATTGTCATGTAAATATCTGATACGCAGGATGGTCTTAGGCGACCCCTGTGAAAGGGTCGTTCGACCGCCAAAGGGGTCGCGACCCACAGATTGAGAACCGCTGATCTAAGGGAATTAACTTCCGTCCACAAATGCTTAAGATAAAACTAATCATTTAACTTAAATGGTGTTTTACACAGAAATACACTTACTTGGAATTCACCTCCACTAAAAAGATGGATGGATGGAAGGAAATGAGTTGAATAAAAAAGACTAGGTCAAGCAACTGAATTTCTATCTGGATTATTATTTCATGCAATTACTTAACAGGGGCTTTTAAGAAACCCACTTTGGGAAGGATTTAAAAAAGAAATCTGTTCCCTCTCCCTGGGACAGTGGTAAGGGGGCCTTGCCTAAAGGTAGGGAAAAGAACAAACTTTATTTTGTAGTGATGCAATTTTTAGAAGTTGGAATGTATTTTGAGTTCAGATTTGTGATCTTCTCCACAATCAGTTAATCAGTTCTGTTAGGTAAACTATCATTGTTTTCAAGAAGGCCAAGAACCACCCAGCCAGTGTGTCTCAGTGGTTGAGTGTCGACCTGTGAACCAGGAAGTCACAGTTCGATTCCAATTCAGGGCACATGACTGGGGTGCGGGCTTGATCCCCAGTGTGGGGCGTGCAGGAGGCAGCCAATCAATGATTCTCTCTCATCATTGATGTTTCTATCTCTCTCTCTTCCTCTCTGAAATCAATAATATATTGATCAATAATATATCAATCAATAAAATAGGCCAAGAACCAGTGTGCCTATTTTAATCATATAAACATATTTTAATTCAATGGATATATACTTACAACCATAAATTCCTAAAATATTCAAGGGGACCCAGCCAGAAAGGGGTTATATTTGGAAAGTCTTGTGTGTTGTTGTTGTGTTTTTTCTGGAATAACCACTCTCACCTGTGGATTTTTTCATTGGTTTTTTATTCCCATACATACTAAGATCTTTTGTTTCAAACTCACCAACAGAGAGTCCCAGAGACTTTTCTCATGCTATTCCTGTTCGCTTTTCTAAATCCTAATGATTATAACATTAACCAGTCTCAACGACACAGTAAAGAAGCCAAGATATTACCTGTCAGGCAAGAATCCAATGCCACCGAGTGTGAAGGGTTAAATGCAAAACACAAGAACTCAAGTTGAGCCGTAACAGCTATAGCTGCTGTACTTCTCTCTCATCTGGGACTTCTTACGTGGGAAGAAACTAGTGAGTTACGCAGACTCGAGGGAACATAAAAAAAGAAATTGTCCCGATGCTATTCGGTAATCAATTGAAGAGAGAAAAAAAATCAGTCAGTATCAGGTAATAAAATATGGGATTCGGGTAGAGCACCTGCCGGAGGATGTATCCTGCAGAAAAGGTTATTTTTCATGATTTACACGGGTTTCGAAAGAAGCTTGCGGAATGCCCGGGAGAAATGAAGACTTCGCCAGGCCTTACCTTGTTCTCCAAGTGCTTGAAGGGGGGGGGGGCGCGGGGGGGGGGGGGGGTGGACAGTGAGGTGGAACGGTTATTGACCAGATTGATCATGGGAACAGATCTGCCGGCGGTAACCTTGTTTAATGATATGTTGCTGGGCTCAGCACCTTGCTGGAGCTGTGATTCTGCAGCGGCTGGGGCCGCGTGATGGATCGTGGCAGGAAGCTGAAGGCGCAATCACTCACCTGCTGTCACAGCCTGGCCCCGCCTGTCACCTTCCCCCAGAAGTGGGCGGCCAGGCTGCCCACCCCTGGGAGACAGGAGGGCTGCCCGGAGCCTTGCACCTGCCTTTGTAGGGCATGGCTGCAAGTTTTGGGTTTTGATTTTGTGTGTCCCCAAAAAATACTTGAGTCCTCTCCTACCTTAGGCTTCTCAACCTCTTCCTCGCACACACAGCCCTTTAGGGTTTATTTGAACGTGGCCAGAGACCAAGCAAGGCCTATTTACATCAGAAGATCTAAAGATTCAGGGAATATGATTATTTTCTAGAAAAACACGAAATCCTATTTTATGACATTTTTTTTAAATATATTTTACTGATTTTTTACAGAGAGGAAGGGAGAGGGATAGAGAGTTAGAAACATCGATGAGAGAGAAACATCGATCAGTCGCCTCCTGCACACTCTCTACTGGGGATGTGGCCACAACCAAGGTACATACCCTTGAGTCCGCCATTGAACCAAACCAGTTAGGGCCATTTTTCTCTTTTTAATCAATGCCTTAGTGTGGTAGAAGTTACACAGGAATTGGGCATGGTGGTACCTGGATGGAGGTTACTGGGCTGGAAACTCTCAACTCGGTTCTGTGTTTTCATCTTGGTATGTCCGGCACCTCGCACGTAAGTGTTTGCTCCAAAAAGATAGGGACCTGTGTAATTTAGTTTGAGAAAGGACAGAGTAGAATAAGGGGATACTCATATACTCAACCAATCTTGAATAATTCCCTATTGCTTGTCCCATGAAATCTAAGCTGGTGTCTCCCGTACAAGGTGACCCCAAACACCGACTGTACTCTCCAACATGAATGCCTTAGTTTCGTCAGGACTACTTTATGATTCCCACTATCCGTGCTTATTCTTTCCCTCTCTGAACCAGCCCTTCTGCAGCCAGCCTGGTGCCGCCTCTCACAAGAAGTCCTCCTTGATTACACCAGCCTTTATTCGCCCCTTATTTCACAAGTCGGTTCCTTCTTAAGATTTGTGGGTCCAAGGATGCTAACTGCATCCTCAGCTCTAATACTGCCACTTGAAACCTGAACTAACTCATTAACACATTGATGGCAAATTTGGATTAGGGATAGACATACAAAATTTATTCATATTTTGCAAAAATGCTGGGGCAAAGATGTTCTCTTTTCCTATGCACGAGCAAGCACACGGGTCTAAGAGCTTCTGCGGGACTAGGAGAAAGCTAGGCCTGGAATGAAATTGGCACTTTTGAAAATAGGAAAAGAGAAGGAAAAAGACATTTGATGAATCACTGAGCTACTCAGGCCTTAACGGATGCCAGTCCGAAGACCACTCAGTTTTAACCTGAGTATACTCTGGGTTTCAGCCAGTTCCTCAAGAATTCTGTTACTTGCAACTAAGAGCAGCTCCATTTTCTTGGAACTCAATTTTCACTGAGGACAAACAGACACTTCATTTTGGCTTTCCTATTTTTTTTAATAAGCACTCCTCTCTTGCATGAAACTGAAAACTTTCTAAGTTACTCTTAAGCTAACAAGGAAGCAAGTAAGTCTAATATGCTGAGATGATGCATTGAATTGAAAGGGTAGATAATCTGTATCCTGATTTGGTTACATGTTACTTGTCTCTTTCTCAGATAGGCCCTAGGATCCTGTCTTTTTCACAGTCTCTATATCAGTGATGGCGAACCTTTTGAGTTCGGAGTGTCAGCATTTTGAAAAACCCTAACTTAACTCTGGTGCTGTGTCACATATAGAAATTTTTTTATCTTTGCAACCATAGTCAAACAAAGACTTATATTTTTGATATTTATTTTATATATTTAAATGCCATTTAACAAAGAAAAATCAACCAAAAAAATGAGTTCGCGTGTCACCTCTGACACGCGTGTCATAGGTTCGCCATCACTGCTCTATATCCTAATTATATTGCTTTCACTTGAGAAAGAGTCCTGTGGATATTATTATTAATCCTATTACTAATAAATCACTATGCCAGTCTTCAAAAAATTTGCACAAACAAGCTATGTGCACAATACCTTATGGAAAAAAATCAAGACAGCCAGCCTATAAGCCACAAAGAAATCAAAAAAGCTAAAAGACATTCAACACAAAGAAAAAGTAGCTGCATGGGGATTTGGGGGAAACAAATGATGTAGAAAAGTGGGCCTCGTGGCTTTGCGGTGGAGAGCTCTGCGGTGGTCGGTTCCCTCTGGCTTCTTGTCCCTTCTGCCTGTATCTTTAAGGCATTAGCCTCGCTCTCAACCCAAAGTTGACAGTGAGGTGCTGCAGCCCCCCAAAACAAAAATGGAAGCAAACAAAAGATAGTATGAAGTTTTCTAGCAGACCAAATGCATTTTGAGGCTCCAGCTTTTCCTGTTGTTTTTTTTATATAGTCTTTTTCCTTTTTCACTCCCACCAATGTGGTATTACAGCATTCCTTAAAGAATGCCCATGTGTGTGTGTGTGTGTGTGTGGTTTTGAGGGGAAAATGGAAACGTATAGATGCTTTAGTTACTGAACAGTACCCTCTATCACTTACCTGCCTCTGAGGTCATCTCACAACCAGCAGCGATGAAGGCGATGAAAACATTTCCCTCTGACAGCTTCTGGTCTTTGCTGACACACCCAGTGGCCGGCCACTGTGGCAGCTATAGACCAGTTTCTGAGCGTGTCACTTATTTATAAAGGCAAAAGGAGGTTCACTCCCCCCCTGTGTGCTATCTTTTTGGCTTCTCTATCGACTTTTGGGTCTCTGTTTATCCTCTTTAAGCAAGATGTCAAAAACCCAGTGCAAAAAGGACAGACTCGCACCCAACGCCAATGTTTCTTTCACCCCCTCATAAGGTGTCTGTGTTGTTTAGCCTGATTGCCTTTCTGTCCGTATCCACTTCATTGGTAAGTCGTAAGTGTAAGTCGAAGCAGAGCAGAAACTCAATGCTATTCTAGAAAACAGCAGGCGTTTCTCTATGTGTACATGAAAGCTATTTCTTATTGAATGAGAACCTTGTTACAGTGATATTATAATATAAGGAAGAGGACTTTTTCATCTTATAATAATGAACGACATTGCTCAAGGAACATTCTGTATCGTGAACACTATATAACTACTGGTCTTGCATGATGGTTAATATAAAAGAAATGGGCAGAATTAGCTATCAATCTAGGATAGCCTGATGCTAATTACAATAAAGTCGTGTGCATATAAAGTTGCTTCTTAAAATGGACTGTTCTGATAGCTACAATTTGTAAAGGTCATCCAAATCATATTTAAAGTTCTGTGTGTGTAGTGGGGGGGATCTTGTTTTAATGAAACGAATGCACTTCTTCTTAAAGACAGTGGTTGGCACTGTTTGTACTACACTCACACATCATCTATCCACAAACACAGCAAACAACACATTGACTCAGCATCAAATATCACTAATTCTCTAGTCATTAGAAGCTTACCAGAAAACATGTACCACTTTATGCTCCTTTTTAATTCTTATTTTTTAAACAGAGAAAATGGCAATATAAATGAACTTGATTTAAGATATCTTCAAAAATGTTCTTATATAAATATTTACCTCAAATTGTGGATCAGTTGGCCCATCGGATGTTTAAACTCCTGGATTACGCCAGATTGTTGCTATAATAGGTGGAATATAAAAACAAAAATGCTTCAGAGGTACAGGCCTGCTTTCTAGAAAGATGTTTATCAGCTAAAATGCTTAATCCGTCTGCGTATAATTTGCCAGTGTAAGACAACTACACAAAAGCATAAATCTGTGTTTGGGAATATAATCTAATTGGCAACATTTTTTGGACACATTTAATATTTGCTGTAATTATAAAATTCAGATGTACTGCTGTAAAAGAATATTCTGGTGTCCAAAAAAGGGAACATTTTAAATGTTGTTGTGTTGCCCACTCCAGCTCTATCATTTTATTCAATCTCTCAGGCTGAACCTAAAAAGCACGAGGAAAAATGGTAAAGCATTTCAGTGGGCGTGTGAACATCTGTGGGCATCACTGGAAGCCACTTAATAATCCCAATGAAAGAAGTTCCACATTTTAAAATCTGAGACCTCCTCATGCAAATCATTTTGCCTTGAGCCATTTCAAAAAGAAATGAAGGACCTAGAGGGTTTCACAGAACACTGGTGAGACCGTTTTCAACTTTGATCTGACAGTAATTAGTTAAGATCTTGACTGATCATAGCGCAAGCAGACTCCAAAATCTGGTGCCCAGCTAATATGAAATAGGGCCGCAATCTAAGATAAAAATCCCTGCTTTATCTGACATGGTATTTCCTATGTTAGTGGATTATTGAGTGGCATATAATGAAACGATGAATCATTCATTGTGTAGTAAAGTGATTCACCATGATGCAAGTACAGTTTTTACCTCATGCATAGACATCAAGTTCAACATTAGGTAGTTGTTTACTTAAGCTTAAGTATACGTATACAGGCGTTAAGTATATATACATTAAACCAAATATGTCTAAGTTCTTTTTCTGTTTAAAAACTAAGATTTAAGCCCTAGCCAGTTTGGCTCAGTGGATAGAGCCTCGGCCTGTGGACCAAAGGGTCCCCGGTTCGATTCAGGTCAAGGGTGCGTACCTTGATTGCATATCGATGTTTCTCTTTGTCTTTCTCTCTCTTCCACTCTCCCTAAAAATCAATGGGGAAAAATAAATCCTTGGGTGAGGATTAACAAAAAAAGAAAACACAACAAAACTAAGATTTAAGGAAAATACCTTTCACACTTAATGTAATTATGGGAAATGAGGTTGTCAGCACGAAATGAAGTCTAGGGTGTTACCATGAGCTGTTTGGTCCCCCCTCCCCCAGCGTAAAGTTTATGCTGAGATCAAGCTCAGCGCTACACTGAACTTCTAGAAAAGATGACCTTCCTATTCTATATACGAGGAACTAAAATTTAAAACTCACGCCACAGCCAATCCCTGCAAAGCATGCCCTTCTCCCCACAGGTAGTGGGGAAGGGAGCCCAGATGACAGGACCCCCACCTGAGCCCCAGCTCCCCAGGCAGCCCAGACCCACTCTATCCATCACCGCAGGATAATGCATAGCGGTTGCACCTGTGACAGGCTATGATTGAGTGCTGAACACGGGGCCTGCCTCGCCTGGCGCCTGGCGCATTTGTATTTCTCCAGGCCGGTTTGAGAATTTTCAGCACTTGGGGGCAGGGAAGCAGGGATCCCCATTGTATTTTGAAAGAGAAATAATAATGCATTTTGATTATCGAGACATACCACAAAGGAGAAATTAGGCAGCGGAGCGCCCCGGTCCGCTCAGGTGTGCGAGAGCATCCGTGCAGCACAGAATGCAATATTATCGAGCGGTAATTTAGCTTTGATGAGTCCGGGATGCTGACCACGGCCATTCCTTTGGAGACGTCTCACTCACCCAGTCATGAAACAGATATCTGTTCCTTAGGATCACATGTAAGAAAAAGAACAAAAGGTCAAAGCTCACCGATTGTCAGAAACGGCGGTCTAACCCGACGTAGTTTAGGATGGCAAGGGATCCATTATTTTTTTCAGCTTGAAGTTCTCCCTCCATATTTTGGAAACCTCTCGTTTAATATCATAATCAAGCTATTTAAATGGTTTAAGTGGCATCATCTGCTTTCTAAGAAATTGAAATTACAGTGTATACAGTTTAAATCATTTTCTGCTAATTCAGCCGGTTCCTGAAAGCATGTCCTTAGTGAAAATGTCTTTTAAAGTGCCTATTTTTACAGCATTCGGGATATGGGGTTGAGCCTTCTTAGTAGAACCGTGTTTTTTTCTATTATAGAAGAAAAAAATATTGATATTATATTGTATCATACACATTGTTCACATAATTCGAGTTTGGGGTTCTTAACTGACTTACATGAATGCTTTTGTTAAAATAAGATTACCTGTCAAAATTGTCTTACAAAAAGAAAAAAACCCACCACACCGATGGAAAACCCACTCCCCTTCCCCAAAAGGGCAGGAGGGAGACCATTAACAATAAAAACACAACCAATCTGGATATGTAAACTCCATTTCTCGGGTTAGCATTTCCACTTGGTCTGAACCCATTCCCCGGGGCACATACATCGCCACACACACGCTTGGACTTTTTAAAAAAAATGTTGTGCTGGCAAGTGAGTGGACTGTGGGCCGCCGTCCCTTTATCTTTCCTCGTCGGGATTATGACCTTCACTTTCCCTGAGTGCGGGCCAGTGGGATCGGGAGGAAGAAATGGAGGGGCTGCGGGTGCGGAGCGCTGCGTGTCGGAGGACACCCGGGTTCCCAGGGTGGCGCGTGTGCAAACACAGGTCCCTTCGCGCCGTTGTTCCCACCGCGGGGACTGGCGCAGTCTCCATGCCTTTGTTGACCCGTCGCCAGCGAAGTTGCCCGAATATAAATAGACGGAGGCGGCTGATGAAGGAAAGGGGGGAGGGTTGCTTTCTCCGGGTGCCTGGGGGGCGGGAGCGAGGCTGAGGGTGTGGAATAAAGTCAAGTGCCGGCCAGTTTGGCGCAATAACGCAGAGCCTTCGCCCCAAAGCCCTGGTGGCCAGCTGGGCGCGCCTCTCTAGACCCTAAGCCTTGTCCTCGGCCGCGGGCCACCGGCCACCCCAGGTGGGAGGTCTGGCGCCCCGAAATGGGGAG